AGAAAGCAAAAGCATGAAATGGAGACAAGTGGATGGCAACTGAAAGAAGGTCACAGATTATGAGCAGGCTGGTTGGATATTAGGGAGCGAGCACTCTCGAAAACTTCAGCCAAGAGCAGTGTTGCAAGGGAAATCTAGCTTGTCCTGTTTAACCCGGTAAGAGATGTTACCAAGTAAGAGAGAGGTATTATGAGAAAATACACTTCTCGGTTGTTCTGAATTCAATTCATATATAAGCTAGTAACCCTGTTTTAAAGTGGTCCCACAAAAAAGCATTATGAAAATAACTTTACATTTCAAAATAAAAACAATATTAAAACTTAATCTAAAGTCAATGTGGCATCTTTTCAAGAAGCCTCTAGCAGAGGTGTAACTCATTTGTGGAAGGAAGGCAATTTCAAACTTAGAACTTACCTTGCTATCCATGAGACGTGAAGAGTAATCCACAATTCCTTTTTAAAAATGCATAACCTAACTGGGTTACTAACATATAGGAAATGCTATGATACATGTAATCATTATAAATATAAAAAAAGGAAAATCTCTGACGGACCACGTAATTCTGCATGTTTAAAACAGATGTATTTCACTATTCGACTACGCTACAGGAAGATCTATGGGAAAATGAAGGGGCACAAAAGTACTGCATATAAAAGTTAGGTTTTACATAAGCATTTTGACACAAATACCAAGGTTCAGTAGGTCATATGCATATGAAGTGCATTAAAAGAAGTTGTTTTTAGACCAAAAGTGATGCCTAACCATTAATCAAATAAAACTGTTATTTTAAGAGGGGAAAAAACCCCAAAAAACCCCTCAGACATTGACATACAGCTGTACCTGACTATTCTCTATTTATATTATTGGTATCAGTTTCATCTACGATGAAGTGTCCATTAACAACACTGCATGACTGTGTACTAATTTATAAGTCTGCATGTATCACATCCTATGTTCCTACATAGAAACATGTATAGAATATAAGAAAGTGTGACCCTATTGTCATATAAAAGCCAACAGCTTCCAGTTTTACTTTCTAAAATAGTACTCTTGCAAGCAGCTATCTAGCAACTCTGTTAGTAAAAGCATGAAAGGTCTAATGCTTCCCTCTCAGTAATAGGAAAGCATTAGTAGTAAGACACAGGAATTCAGTAAGAAACTAAACTTACTGTTTGGGGCCTTCCCCCTGCCCACATTTAGAGCCACAATCATCTAGCTAGATGGTTATTTTTAGTGCAGGCTCCTGTTTAAAGAGGAGGAAGGAAACACCCCAAATTAGAAAGACCAAATCAGTATATGAATAGGTTAAATATTCCAAGAACAAAAAAAGTCTCCTATCAAATTAATGGTAATACAAAAATACATCATTCTTGGTAATGGATCTTACTTGTTCTTTGCAGTGCATACTAATGAAAACAACGATACTTCATATTTTATACTTACGTATTCCAAGTAACACAGAATGATTATCAGGAGACTAAGGGCATGTGTTAGGTTAAGGTGTAAAGCCTCATTCCACAGTAAAGTCCAGATCAATGACTGGTATATCCAGTTCTGTTGCATAAATATTGATATTTTTTCCCCATCTATGCACTGTGTAAATTTTGAAGTACCTTTCCATCACAGAATGGATCATACCACGGCACGCTGCACTGAACACCCAGTGGCAACATACATGCTTTGCTAATGCATCTCATTCTCAGTATACTCTAATAATCTGTGCATTCACTAACACATAGTGTGTATTAAATTGCATATTCAGACAGTGAAGTGTTGTAATGTTGGCAAAAAAGGCTTTTTCCACCCCAAATTTTCCAAGTTTATCTTGAAATAATTCTGTTACTGCGTGTTGAAAGAAAAACAGTTAACAAAGGAAAGTTACTTTCTATATTAAGAATCTCTCAGCAGTATGTAATTTGTGTTCTACCCCCAGCATCACAGACACAAAATATATTATCACTGAGAAGTAATAACACTAATTTGAGTAAGAGGTAAACACTAGAAGTGACTTTATAAAGCAACATTTTGCATTCTGAAAGAGGAAAATTTGTTGAAGTACTTGCGTAAGCCAAGCTAGAGATGCTATAGTGAACATTCCTTCCTCCTTCCACTACTGAAGAAAAGCTCAACTTCCACAAAATTGGTTTTTTTTTAATACATCACAACTGCTTCTAAATACTTATTTACCTGGATATTTAACACTCCAGCTTAAATTTTAGATGTTTTCCTCATCCAGACACCTTCAGTCTCCTTAGGAAAGGAAGAGTACAAGCTTATGTCCAATGCATAAACAATATAATAAATGAATATGCAGCTTTAGTTTAGGGCAGAAGAAAATAAGCTGAAGTTTCACAACTTGATCTTTCACTGAAGAATCTCAACAAGGACGTTAGGCAATCTGTCACACAGTGGCATTACAACACATTTGTCGCATTTGGCTTGTTAAGTATTACTAATGACAGAGAGAGAATGTCATATTAGCAGGACAAAAAGCACTCATGAAGTTCATTCTCCCTCTTCTCTGTATTTACTACAAACAGAGCAAGTTTTGAATTTATTTAGAATTTGGAGAATTTTTGGTAAATGCTGATGCAAAACTGTATGGGGAGAATGGAGAAGTAATTTCTTAGGGTAACATCAAGTTGCAGAAAAAAAAAGAGGAAGGTTGCACATAAGTATGTAAAACAAAACATTCTCACGCAAACTCAAGCACAACATAAAAGTAACATATGAGCGTTACACTTCAAGTTAAAAAAGAACATTTTGTGACGTGTAGTATTACAGGGATGAGAAAGAACATACTGGGATCACATCTGCATTTGCAGGCTTCTAGTCACCTGACATAAAGCAGGAGGTAGTTTTAAAAAATCCTCCCCTAATTTGTACACTTGTGGATTCAGAAAGCAGCGTTAAATATAATTGCATGCTGCACAAGACTCCAAAAGAATGTCAGCCCTTAAATCAAATATATACATTTTTAATATCTGAAATATTTACATGGTGGAACCTTTACACGATCCCATTTGTTAAGAACAGTGTTTTCAAGTGTCCTCTCCAGATACAAAGAACTAGTAACTCAAGGTCATAGTTATGTTTTCTGAACAGGTCAACCTGTATCCTTCAGTTAAATACAATATAGAGATACTGGAACATCTTTACTTAATTTGTTTGCTATTAAGAATTGTGTTTAAAAATTAAAAATGTTTTTGAGACAGTTTGCTCCCTGGAACACAGTCCTCCTGCAATCAAAACAGCTCACAGCACGTTATCGATTTGTCTTCTTACCCAGGTATGAGATAAAAAATGCAGTTTACAGTACATCTCATCATTTATACCATATCGGCCTATTTATAAAAACCCATACAAACAAGGCAGGAAAATATCACCCTCTTTTTGTGGACAATAGACTGCTTACAGTAGAAAACAAAAGTCGGGTCTAGTTTAACAGTATGGATAAAAACAAGACTTAGGCTTTGTTTGAAAACTTACGGTTTGTTTTTTGTCAACTCCTATGATCAGTTACATCCAAACAGGTATTTTTTTTCTAAATACTAAAAAAATGTTTTTAAAAATAATTTCTTTAAAAAAAATTCTATCTGATTATTTTGGAGACAGAAGGGATAATAGGGAAGGGCTAAAATGGAATTGAGCAGAAGATATCCTAGGTTTTAAAAAAAAAAAAAATCATTAAATAGCACTTATTGAATTGAGGTCCTGCTCTTGTTTTAACTGAGCAAAGAATAAAAAACTTCCTGCAATTTGCACTTTCTAGGAAAGAAGCTGAGCATCTGCAGGAGATTAAGTTCCCAGCTTCATTAGTAATTCTACATTGGCAACAAAGTACCAAGACTACTGCTGGTTCACGTCAGAATGAAAAGGCTGAGGGAACTCCTTTACCAGAGTCAGATGAGGGGACCAAATGAACACACAAAGCTGTTCTGTGAAAGCAGCTCAAGCCACTTATTTTTAAATTCTGTTCTGATCACTCCTTAAATAAAAAGAGGGGGAGTATGCAAAAAAAAAAAAAGCGCTGATAGATTTGCAGTAAAATCATTTGTCTTCATCTGTAACTGATACAGTTCCACATTAAGTGCAAATGTTTTGCAAAACGGGCTTTTTTTTTTTCTCTTAATATTTACAAGAATCAGAGTAACATAACAAAATTACCAGAGAGCGTGTACAGTAGCTGCAGCTTGTAAAACATACCGGTAAATGTACCTTGTGAATTATAAAAAGAACCAATGCAGGATTCCAATAACTAACTGAGAAGGGTAAAGGGGGCCTCAAAGCAGAGGACAAAAAAAATTCACATTTTCTAAATAAAAAAATACAGGTCTCAAGTCTCTGAGAACAGAGAAAATTCAAAGTCTTTGAATGACGGGGAAAAAAAAAGCCCAAAGTTGAAATGGAACCCTAGAAGCAAGGAGAGTGCTTTATTTCACTAGACCAATCTTCTTCGCTTCTGTCTCGTATATCAACAACCTCCACATTTTGACTATGAAAACTTCAGCTTCTTCATCTAGTACCTGTAAGAAATACACATTTTATAGATTACTTTTTAGGTCAGGCGTTCCAGACACATCAGAACAACAAAGTGGAGGTAGTGTACTCCAAGCTAAGCCTTTGAGTGAGACACTGGATAGAACTTCAGTGAATTTGTCTGTCCTGTATTTATCACCTGACTTGACTAGGCTCTAATTACACACTTGTATAATGCAGCTGTTGAGCACTAAGAGATAAAAGTACCAGTATCCTAGTCTCCAAAAGTGGTTTGGGAAGAGGCAGAGAAATGGCAGGGAAGTGGCTTGGGAAGAATGTAAGAACAGGACATACACGTGTGGTATTTTCCCTTAATTCTCTCCTAGTCTCTGCTCATTTTTAGCTTGGAACTTCCTTGGATATTTATTAAGTAATCCCTCGATGGATTTCTCTTCCTTCAACTTATTATCCAGGCTTTTCCTGAATCCATGCAAACTTTTAGCATGCACAGCATCTCTCAGGAAGTTCCCCAGGTCACCTACTAGTCACACCAAGAACAACCTACTAACTTCCGCTATGAATCTGGCTCCTACCAACTTTGCCTCCAAGTTTCCTTATTGGAAGAGAGTGAACAATGAGCTTTTATTCACCTTTTAGTGTATGAAAACATGGTGAAACAGTAGTATTATTTCATGAAGTTTCTCTCTTCCCACACCAGGCAAAAAAAGAACTTTTACTCTTCTGGAGAAAAATCACCTTTTGCTCATTAATTAGGAACAGACCTACAAAACCACTAGTTATAAAAATCCAATTACAACAATGAGAAGGAATAAAAGTTTATATTTCTGATACAGTTCTGTTATTGTTGATTCTTACCTCTACTGTAGGGACAGAATCTTTGTTCCACATTTCTGAATACTGAGAAATTCTGAACAGGGATCAGTAATTTCTACCTAGATGCTGTAACTGCAAAATCATGCCTGTGCTAGCATGATCTGTTTAATCAAAACAGCCTTCATATCTAATGCATGTTTTCTATGCATGTTCTATGAACGCCAAATATTTCTGTTATGGACTCCTGCTATTTCGCACACTGACTATTAGCTTCAGGATAATGTAGAAGGTATATCAGTTACACAATGTCTGCTTACCATGGCAACATCATCCAGTATGCTCTGTGGTGAGCTGTGAGCCATAACCTGAAAGAAACAAATGTTTTTAGACTGAAAACTCAGAGTAAACCATATAAACACCTTTGGATAAAAACCAGTTACTTCTCAAGGATTTTGAATGCTTTGCACACGCAAAAAGTATTTCCAGTTAATTAGTTCCCAGTATTAGCCAGGGCAAAAATCAGTATTAAACTGCATAAGATTCCATCACAGTGAGTGCTAGTTTATGGCTAGTTACTGAAGAACAAGTTCCAGGAAGCTCCAGAGATTCAACAGGTCCTATATTTGCTGGCTATTCTTGCATTTCCAATTAAGCTCTCCTAATTTAATGAATAAGCTCCCCTTCCTTCAACAATGAATTCCTAATGGAAGACAAAGGCAAAATTCTCCCTCTATCACTCTTCATAACTGAATTTTCCATCTGCCTGTTAAGTATTTCAAATTTTTTTTTTTTTCAGAACCAAATTAAGTTCTTTCCATACTAGAAAATGGCATTTATTTTTTTAATATATATAATTTAAGCTTGGCAAATATTCAAGTTCTGCTCTTCACTTTCTACTAACCACCTGTGCCACAAAACTATCACTTGCTTTGCCTCTCATACGGTAGCCCGAAAACATAAAGTGAGACAAGCCATTATAAACCTGAGTACCATGAAAGCTGAAGTTTTTGAAATGCCCTATTGATGAAAAGCCATAGAGTTGTCATGACAGATTTTAAAAGTTACTAGAATTTAGTTTGTAATTTGATGGAAGAAGCTACAGAGTTTAGTTTAAACAAGTCATGCAGCAGCTAAAAGGTATAGCAGAATGACTTCTAATGCTAACTCTAAAATCTTAGTATTTGCTTACTATTAAAGCAACAACAGCATCTAAAAAGCTTTTTAAGAAGTTAATCTAGTTAATCAAAAAATGTATATAAAATCAAGCTGCTGGCTTTTTTTCCCTGGATTCACACAAATCCTATTTTTAAGTTAAAAATGTTAATGGCCAATGAGATATTAACTCTGAAATCTAATGATAAAACTATCAGTTAAAACAGCTGCTCTTGTCAACTGCTCATTTCTTCAATCCAGTTCCATATGTTTATCTAACAGATAATAGAGAGCATCTAGCACGTGCATAAGCATTAAAGGAGGTAACTTGTAAAACATTAGGGTTCCAAGTACACCAACTGTCTCTGCTGACCAGTATCACAGACTACAGAGAAGCTAAGAACAGACTGCCTTCAGTTAGATACTCCAGTCATGGCTGCAGCTTAAGTAGGTAGCAAAAGGAAGTGGAAGATACTAACCTTAGAACAAACGAAGTCAACTAGCGTGGCTTCTTCTTCACCAATATATTCTATTATTTTCTTGTTGATCCACGGTCTAATTCGACGTTCCATTAGTGTCTGGAAAAAGAAAAGGAAAAAAAAAAAACACAACCATAATTTCCATAAACTACTGCCTTAAAACAATACTGCCACAAAGGCACCTAGAAGACCCAAACAACTGTTTAGCAAAAAGATACATTTTGCTATCAATGAGATAACCCTTCGTGATTTGGCATCTGCAAGTATTTCTGACAGCTATTCAGACATGTTTTTACAGGACCTTTTTCCCCCCTTCCATAAAAATGCTAGACAATTTGTAGCAACAATTCAGGAGACCAAACAAAAATAAGCAGGAATACTCAGAATAAGTATTATATATGGACAAGAAATACAGTACTCAAGTTTCATTCCATTTGATGATGATGCTCCAATCCACTGGGGTCCCAGGAGCATTGTTTTTCTATTCAATTCCAAGGACCATTTGGAAAAAATATGCTTTTTTGTAAATGGTTAAAAGAAATCAACTTACTGAATCCACAATTGACCAGTCAAGAGGATAAGCAAAGAGCTCTGGTTTTGCTGTGGGAATCTTCTCAATAAGGCTCTTAATATGTTTGCGTTTTTCTTCTGTATTGACACTTCCTTTGATATTGCTTTTATCTTCTTCTCCATAATCCAGGGGAACAAGCTTCCTTTTCCGCGGCACATCATCACTGTCTTCGTCATCAAATTTATTGAAAACACTATCCACAGCAAGCTTCTTCCGTTTTACAGCATTGGGCTGATTAGGACTATTGCAGGCACCTACCACCCAAAAGACAGAATAACATATTCATAAACTGCAACTGAAGCTAGTTTGCTGTTCACATATTTCTGGAGGAATATCAGTTTATGTGTTACATAAATGTCTGTGAATGCCTAACATCAGCGTTTTAATCTCTCAAACTCTGTTATAAAAATTGCAAAAGAGGTAAAGATCTCAAACTGAGTTTATTCAAGATTTTTGAAAAATAGGGTCTTCTTTCTCTGCCCTGAAACCAATTAGCACCCTCACTGAGGGAGGACTATAGCATAAGCTCAAACCTTAGCAGAGGCAGAGCACAGAAATGAAAGGTTGCAATGAATCTAGCAGTAGGAAAAGCGTTAATCAGCTTAATACCAGCCTCTCTTCATTCAAGATCTAACACAGTGTGAGCTCAAACTGCAGCCCCAGTATAATTTAATCGAAATAATAAATAATAAATGCACAAACCTTCTGGAATACAAATATCCTTAGTTCTGCTGCTCAGAAAAAAATTTTTTTAAAAACACCAGGAAATTGCAAAAGTACTAAAGAACTCTACACTCATGTTCCATTCACAATTGTCATCAATTCATTGTGCTACTCTAAGAGGAAGAAAAAATAATCTAATTATCAGTTTTCTTCTTTTAAAAGAGTCTTTGTGAATAAACATAAGAAGTATCTAGGGCTTAAGTCTAACATATACTTACACCAATGAAAAGTAGCAATGAGTTTTAAAGGAGGTATTTAGAGAACTATTAAGGTGAAAAAGCATGTGGAAATCACTAATCCCAGCTCAGAGCATTCCTAGAAAAATTAAGCCTTGAGGGTGCCAAAACTTCCCTCCCTTTTTCCCCTCCAGATTTTGGAAGAGAGATCTATAAAAGGTATCTTCTGGATAGGAGAAATCAAGCAGAGCATTTAGATAACAACAACTTGACAGAAGTATGTCAAAACATACAATATATTTGGAAAACTGTGTGGCTACTCAGCTTGGCATTTTTTTCATTCTGATCCCATATGGAACATTAAAATAAAATGTAAACTTGCCCAATTTGAGGCTAAGTCCTATTTTGGGCCGATGCTCTTCCGGCTGCTGTTGATCAGGTGAATTTTCATGAGGGATAATAATGCCACAGGGAGATTCATCACCAGGTGTGTTAGGGGTTGCATTTCCACTAGCAGAAGAAACAGATGGGGCAGAACTAATGGGTCGTAAAGTTGGTTTAAGGCAGGGCTTTTGTTCAGGCTCCTCCTCCTCTTCCTCCGGCTCTTCTCTTTTTTCCTCTTTTTCTGCCTTTTCTTCCTCTTCCTCCTCAGACTCTGGCTCCTGTTTTATTTGTGGCTGCCTACGCCGCTCAGCCTCCTGCTCCATCTACAATGAAACAGACAATTAGCAAAAAAGCAGCTTTCTCAAAAACAGCACTGTTTGAAAAGAATCTAAAGATCCTCTGGTTCTTAAAGAAGTCTCTGTTAGTCAAGAATACATGCAACTACTGCCATTATAATCAGAAATACTGATTAATCCAAATTTGTTTTCGAACTTCATCCAAACATACATCTGGAAAGTTATTTTTTGTTTCCAGTGTTCTTACTGCTTCTCTGGACTTCTATTTAAGAAAAAGTGAACAAGAGCAAATATTAACTATCAGATCTCTTACACAGTTTTGCACAATACTACTAGAATACCAAGGGCTCTTTTTCTCCTGTCAGACCAACAGCTACTTACCCTCTGGAGTTCTGCATCTGGATCTGGGTGTCCTTCTGCCAGAAGGCGTTGCCTAATTTCTTCTAATTCTTCCTTTTCCCTTTTCCTATCCCGTTCATCTGCTTCCATCTCTTTCTCCCTGTCTCGTAGCCTCTTCTGAAGAGCACTACCCCTACAAAAGATACGGATTTTGTACTTCAAAGAACATTCCAATGAGAACCTTGTACCACAATACAAGAAATACCTGATACAGATGTATTCTCCCCTAAATGAAAATACGATTCATAAGAGCATCTGGTGTCCTCCATTTTTGTAACAGAGGAATCTAACCTACCAGTTCCCTACATTACTATACAGAATTTACCCCATCACATTAACCAGATGTAGAGAACATGACTGCCAATCTTCTTAGAAAAAGAATCAAATTATTTTATATGTTTTCACTTGACAAGAACCAGTTCTGCTAGATTAGTTTGATGCAAATTTTAGTTAGTCCCATGATGAAAGATCTTCCTCATCCTTTACAGAGTTAATGAGCTTTTTCTTTGTACAATTTACAGCTTATTTGTAGTGACTTTTTTTAGAGGCACACTTGATCCCTTCTCTCTGCTCCCACTACCTTATTTTGGCATTATACTGACCTCTGCTCCGCCTCACTCACAAGTTAAGTGATAGGAAGGAGCAGCTACTCCCAAACATTAACAAGCAGCAGTAAGGAGTTTCCCTTTTCCCTCTGGCACTTATCAAGTGACACTGAAATAATTTAGATAATTATATGACCCTTACATCACCATATAATCACTTAAATACAAGCTCCATAAGCCTCTGCCAATAAACCCCACAATTCTGTTAAAATAAACAATGAAGATTTTCTTGTTAGGAATCAATACAAAGACATACCTGTAGTATTTTGGATCATCTCTGTCATCATCATAATCTTCTAAGAATTCTTTTAACCGTTTGGCTTCTTTTGCCTGCAAGAAATTGAAACATAAGTAACGTTATGAAATTATATTTCTGGTTTTCTTTCCAAGAGTTTAAAACTTAGTAATATTATTAGTAAATTAATTTAATATCTGCTATGCTTCAAACTAAAAATACAGAAAATGGAAAGGTTTTGGAATTGCATCCTCTTCCAGGGATATGTCAACTTGCTATCATACGTTCAATAGCAGACAGTACATCCATTAGGTCCACTGGAATAATGTCTCTGATTTGCAGACTACTGTTCTGTTATTAGCATTTCAAAGGGTTTTTAAATACACACACCACCCACCC